GAATATAAGACCCTTTAATGACAACAAAGCATATAACAAGCATATTAGTGGATGTTAACAAGGTTTCTCTGAAATAATGCAACAAATGACTTTTGAAAAATTATTTGAGAAATGTAAAACAGCAAACTTGCATTTGTTTCAATGTTTTTAAGCATGTGACAAAGAATTTTGGCGCTTTTGGTAAAGAAATTAGGTGGAAATTAATCTGTATACTTTACTATATGATCTTGAATGTAAGATATGTTTTGATGATAATCTGGAAATATCACTACCTCCACTTCAAAATATGAATGGTTATTCTTCAAGTCGTGATGATATTCCAAAATCATTAGCATTGTTATGTTAATGATGGTAAGGAATTGAAAAAAATTCGAAAGATTCATGCAAGATAAATCATGGGTTATGATGTTGATTTGATGCACACATCGCAATCAAGACAAGATACAGAGGTAATATAGTTACATGAGAGAGAGAGAGAGAGAGAGAGAGAGACGAACCAATTGGGTGATAAATTCATCCTCCAAATTTGCCTTTGTTGAACTTCCTCCTTAGCTGAGCGAACTTGATTGCTATGGTTACTGATATCCAATTGTAGTTGTTTTCGATGAACTGGAAGTACGCATACCTCCAAGACTTCTTGAAATTCAAAGTGCCACAGACCCCCAAAAACCCAACTGAGAAACCAGGTCCAATGCCAGCATAGAACCACAAAAAATCAGTTTCATCTGCAACTTTACCCTCATCACCATGTTTGTGATCACCATGTTTGTGATCACCATCCGATGATTTATCATCGAGGCAGCTGTTTAGTGGTGCACCACAAAGGCCATCATCGTTGCCTATATAAATGGAAGGATCGTCGAGAGTTCGAAGTTGATTTCCCGTTGGTATTCGCCCTGATAAATTATTGAATGACATGTTCAAATAACTTAGGTAGCGTAAACTGGACAGACTTGGAGGAATGGGGCCAGAAAGTTTGTTTCGAGACAAATCAAGAGATTCCAATTGTGTGAATTGGCCAATATTATTAGGGATCCTTCCTTTTAGATGATTTCCAGATAAATTCAAGTTAAGCAACCCAGAAAGATCCATTAACTCTTCTGGAATCTCTCCAACAATGCCATTGTTCGAAAGGTCCATGGAGACGAGAAATTTGAGTGTCTTGGTGTATTCCAGTTCTCTTCCTTTCATTGAATCCAAAATGTTCTCTTCATAAGTTGCACTAACATCATAATAGTTATATAGTTTGAAATCAAACACACTATCTACTGCAACCATGGCAGTGAAGTTGGCAAAACAACGAGGGATATTTCCCATTATGTTATTTTGTGCCAAGTTCAACAATTGCAAATCTTGGAGATAACAGAGTTGTGGAGGAATATCACCATAGAAATTATTTGATTGAAGACTGAAAAATCTAAGATTAGTTAGGTTATATCTAATCCATGGAGGGATATTATCAGTGAACACATTTTCACCTAGATCAATGGTGAAAAGATGTGTCAAATTCTGTAAGGACAAAGGAAGCTTCCCAAAAAACTTATTGTTACGCAAGTGCAAGGAATTGAGAGATTGTAGGGAACCCAAAGAACTTGGAATTTCACCATATAGACTATTATTCGTCAAATCTAGCACCGACAACTGATTCAACTGCCCCAAGCAAGGAGGAATTTTTCCTAATAACTGATTGTTTGAGAAATCAATAACAGCTATATTCTTTGCCTTGCACAAAGACACTGGAATGACACCGGTCAAATGGTTATTTGAGAGAACAAGAAATGTGAGGCTTGTCATCGGATGATAATAGGTCCTGAAAGCAAGTTGTTGGAGAGATCTAAGACATAAAAATCTGAAGTAAGGGTTAGTGGACCCTCAAATCTGTTAGAACTCAATAGTACCTCTTCATCACCAGCACTATATCTATATTTACATTTTTGAGATATTGGCACCTTTCCTTTTATCTGGTTGTTGGAAAGATCCAAGTATATAGTGCCACAATAAATACTCTCAAACCAATCAGGAATGACATCTGAGATGCTTGCATAAGACATGTCTAACTCTACAACATTTTTTTGTGTTTCGAGCCATTGAGGAAATTGGGGTCCTACTTTGATGAATGACAATTTTATGACTTGGAGCTGAAAGGGAGGAACCCATTGGGAGGTCACATTCAAAACTAATGAATTTGAATGCAAGCACAATTCATATAAACTTTTGAGTTTGGCAAAGTGAAGTTCACATACGGTGCCAACAAATGAATTATTTGACAAATCTAGATATTCTAGTTTTGAAAGTTGTCCAAGACTAATTGCAATGCTCCCATTCAATTGATTATATCCAGCATCTAACACTCTCAAATATGATAGTGTTCTGAGTGATGATGGCAGCGGACCATAAAATGAATTCCATCCAATAACAAGCCTCTCTAGATTCTTAAACTCTCCCAAATGATTTGGCAGACCACCACTCAACTCATTTGAAGAAAGAGACAAATCTTCCAAACTATTATGGATGCAACCAAATGGACTTCCAACAGAAGTTGAAAGCTTTCTAGTGAATTTGTTATCGGGCAAATCCAATACACACAAGTTACAGAGGTTCCTCATGGAGTTTGGTATTTCACCTTCAAACGCATTCAAAGAGAGGTCAAGCTCTGTAAGTTGTGTCATATTTCCCATCTCACTTAGAATTGGACCTTGAAGATAATTTGCACTCAACCTGAGGATGGAAAGAGAAGCAAGATTCCCAAGGCAATGGGGGATTGCACCTCTCAGGCTAGTATCACTAAGATCTATATGGACAAGACTGCTCAGGTTACACAAAGAATACAACATTGAATCATTGAAGTAGTTACTTGAAAGGTCAAGGACTGTGAGAGAGGTCAACCTTCCAAGTGTCACAGGAATTGGACTACTTAAACCACTATTGCTAAGGTTGAGATACTGCAACCTTGAAAGATTTCCCAGATTATGAGGAATCGTTGCATCGAAAATTGACCAAGAGAGGTCAAGGTATCTCAAGCTTTTCAAATATCCTAAGGAAATAGAAATTTGCATATTGTTCATGCTCAAGTCTAGGTAATGCAAATGATTTAAATTGAGTAAGGAAGGACTTAGCTGACCACTCAATAGTGTTCCAACCGCTGTAGGAATTGGATTACGCAGATCAAGCTTCACAATATGGTCTGTTTTGTGGCTACAACCAACTCCCTTCCATGTGCAACAGTTCTTTCCAACCCACGAGGATAAACGGTTTGCGTCATCTATGAGATTTCCTTTGATTTTCATAAGAGCTTCTCGCTCAGTCGCAATGCAAGTCACATTTGAATTTGTACTACTACAAATGAACTCAAGTCTTTCAATGAAAAAAAGAGCAAATAACATATAGCGATCCCGGGTTTACCCTTGTTGTATAGTGATCCGGGCATGTGTCCGTGGATGTTGGTAGTTGTTTATTATCTTGTTTGCATCCTTTTTACTTCTTATTGAGTTATAGGATGTGTTGGGCAGGTTTGTTACAGGTTGGTTGTGTTTGGGAGCCTAGTGTTGCTGCCCAGATTTTTGGACCTTCGCTCGAGCGAGGAGTTGGTCGCTCGAGCGAAATTGAGGTTCGTGTCTGGTGGGTCGAGCCAGAGTGGCTTCGCTCGAGCGAGCGCTTGCTCCTGGTTCTGGACCTGAGAGTTGTGTTTCTTGGCTCGAGCGAGCTTTTCTTGGCTCGAGCGGTCTGGTTTGTTCTTCGCTTGAGCGAGAGTCCCTTGGCTCGAGCGAGAGTTTCTGTGTCTGGTCGCTCGAGCGACCAAGTCTTCGCTCGAGCGAGAGTGTTTTATATCAGCGGACAGTAGCGATTTTAAACATCACTTTTTCACTCTTCTTTTTGATCAAACCTTAGATCCGAGACTCTCTCTCTCTACACTTATATTCTCTCTAAGAATTGATCTCCTTAGGATGTGAATCTAGCCTAGGGCCTTTGTTAAAAAGATAGAGGGCATTGAGAGCTTCGATTTAATCTGAAAAAGGTTGGTTTTGGAGCACGTTGATCTTCGAGCCTTCATCTCCTTTTTGGCTCAAACTTCGAGGTAGGGATATCCTACTCCTCTCTATGGATTTTGTCTTTAAATTTTGGTATTTTGAGATGTTGGGGTTGGTTTGGTAATTTTGTGAAAGTTGGGGGCTTTTGTGTAATTTTACAAAAGTTAGGGTTTTATTCATAATAAACCTAGATGCATGTTTGGCATGGAGAAATGGAGTAAATGTTAAATCATTGATGAAAATGGGACCTAAGGGTTGAAATGTTAATTATGGGAATTGACCTAATTACACTGTTTAATTAATTGAGATAATTAATTGTGAGAAATGAGAAAATGAAATGTTGATTGAATATCCATTGTGCATTTATTTTCTGTTTAGAAATAACTGCTTTGGGCTATCGGTGGAGGATAGTCGTGATTGTTGTAGACAATGCATGATGATTAGGCAAACTGAAACTAATCAATGAAGTGTGTCATGGAACTTGACGGTTGATAGAATACATTAACTGTATGTATTGAGTGATTGTATATAGAACCAATGTGTTTGTATACGTTATGTGTAGAGGAGGAGATAGGGGATGTACTCCGCGGTTTAGGGGAAGATGGGGGATGTAACTCGTTTCTTGAATGAACTTCCATTT